TATATATATATTATCATTAAAAATTTTCTAAAAACCAAGTTTTATGATAATCAAATTTTTTTTGAAATTATGTCCTCCATATTGAATCCATTATGAATTTTTTATTTTTGACCTGAGATTCGAATACAACATCATCAAAAATTATTCCATAAGACAAGTTTAATAAAATTCGAGCAAGTAGTTTGTAAAATAAAAGGGAGTAATAGAGAATATATTCAAAATAGAGTCATCAGTCAACGAAGAGTTAATAAATGTATATTGCATTTTTTTTGTTTATGACTAAAATATTTTGTGGATTTAAATGAGATGAATTAGGTTTGATTTGTGAACAAAATAAATATATACTAAGCAAAATTCTTGCAGAGATCTTTTCATATCTTTCTTTTCAAGTAAATAAAATACTAATTTTATTAATATTTGAAGAAGTTCTCGAACATCAGCATTTAGAATAATTCTATTAAGCCATCATGTGTGTCATTTTATGTTTAATAAAATCTACACTAAGCTACGGTACAATCTCGATGTTATGTTTCTCTCATACCTGCGCCTTGGATGACAATTCCGCTATTTCTAACAAGCAAATGGTATTAAAATAGTTTTGAAATAGAGGAGCGCTTGGTCATTCGTACTTGTAATAGTAATTTATATGTTATGATCTAATCTGCGTGCATTTATGATCTAATCTGCGTGCGTGATGTGACAGGGAGTCCCCATTGAAAGGCTTTGGTCTTGAAAGAACCCGACAAACATAGGCAGAGAGATTCGCGTCGGTAATTGCTACCTCGGTGTCCTGGTGAAAGTAGAGTGTCCTTGCTCTTGGTCATCTGCGGTACAATCAGTAGCGAGTTCGGCGGTGTTGGCGATACAGTGGAAGTCTGTGGTGACGTGGCTAGCGTTAGATTGGGCAGCGATTGACCTAGACTCGAATACGGCACGTGGACGCTCAGCGTGTTCGGTGTCGGCGATTTATTCATCAACGAGCGCCTGATAGGTTTGCGAATTAATTTTAATAGGAACATTAATATTTATCGGTCATAACGAGGTTGCGGAATCGATCACGCTTTTTTACCTCATGTTCATAGTTCGATGATTGTGTCCGGAGCTGGATTCGCCGCCTTCTTCCGACGACAGCGAGCTCGACGCTCGCGGTTGCTCGTTTGTATCCACGCTGACGTTTCTGCTGGGGTTGTAGCTCGGTAGGAAGCTGCTGCTACCCGGAGATGCACCTTCCATCTCCATGCTACCACTGGAGACAACAAGTTACATTATGTACAGTCGCGGAAGACAAATATGGATAATAAATTATCTTCAACGTGACTCAGTAATTGACAATAACATAACTGTTAGTTATAATTTGCCATTCAATAATATAACTTTTACATACAACATGTGTCATTGTACAGTTATATTACTGAATTTTCATTATGTGATCATCACAAGTTAACGAGATACCTGAAATGTATCATTTCACCCAATGAACTTCATTCATGATGTCATCATAGATAAAGCCTATTGGATTAAATAAGAAATTATAACTATCAGTTATATAACTTATATCAATGGTACTGTTAGTTGATGTTTACTGGAACATTCTTTTTTCTTGTTACAACACGTACCTGTGACTGTGAGCAAGACTGCTGCCGTGCGAAGCTCTGCTACTGCCACGTGGAGTTCTTGGAAAGGTATTGTCATACTCTTCTACTTCGAAATCGCCATCGCCCAATGTGCTCGGCTGCCTGCTGACAGGCGCCAGATTCATAACGGGCTCACCGAGTGACGGAACTTTCATCGATACAAATTGTTGTTGAGCTTGTTTCAAGGAGTCCATCCATGACTGGAAAAAATAATCAAAATAAATTTTCACTTAAGTAAGCTTGAAGATTTTATGATTTCAAGGAACTTTAATCTATTAATTAAATTAATCATTTATTTATCAATTAAATTAAGATCTATTAATTATATTAAGGTTTCACCGATATCGGTCAATCATGTCAATTATGTAAATTTTTTTCAATTGAACTACGCTTCGCTGCAGTTTAACTGATTCTGTAACTTGCATGTATTGTATGATCAAAAGAAGGATGGAGAATTTAGCTGTTAATTAAGTGATTGATGAAAGCAAGCGTTGGCGAATTACGGAATCTAAATTGGAACGGTGAATCAGTCATCCCGTAAAATTTGTCGCAATAGCTGTATTCGCAGTAGCCGTTTGCTGAATTACCTTAGCTAGTTTCGGGTCACCGGCGCTGAGAATTAAAGCGGCAGAAACTGTCCCGTACTCATTAAGATAAACCAATCCAAGACTAGATGGCTCCTTGACCTCGTGTATTCGTATGCGGTCGACGACGTATGGCTGCCTAATGATCTTCAACATTTTCTTCGTCGACGGTTTGCAGATTAGCAGCATGTCGGTCAACAAAAGTACGTGCACTTCCATCTAAAAGGAGATAATTAACGGACTGTAGGTCTCTACAAATAGTTTTTCCTTGTTAAATGGTCTGACCAATTCTCTGTTTGCTTTTTAGATGTAGAAACGAAGATTCGACAAAATTTATAGGAATCGTTTTTACAAAATATAAATATAGAAATTGCAGCGAAATTATTTTTGATCGTTTTAAAAAGCATAATAAAAAATTACGCACATTTTTCCTTTGACCATATATTATTTCTGCGTGTAGTTTAAGTTATAAAAGCAGTTTCCGGTCGATTAAATAAGCTAATATTCCTTATCGATCTACCTTGCTGGTGGCAGCGTCTCTTAACTTCAAGTCTCCTTCTCGAAGGAGAGTCCTCAAGCTATCCTTTGGGCAGCCGGGCATCGGCGCTGTAGTAATATCGAGATTACTGTACAACTTTATCAGTTTCTCCACTTCCTCATCGAGCCCTTTGGATTCCACGACGTCATAGCATTCCAGACGCGAGGCTGCATGGTCTAGCTGAGCAGCCTCCTCGTTTCTCCTTAGCGCAGCATTCACGGACACCACAAAATCATCCACGGATTTAATCTGGACGCAAAACGAACTCGATAAAACAACCCTCTTTGCGCGTTCCCTCTCTCTCTCTCTCTCTCTCTCTCTCTCTCTCTCGCTCTCTCTTTCTCTTTGTATTTTTATTTACGAATAATTTTGAAGCAAGGGTAAACCAAGTTCGTAATTTATGAGATTCACTATAGCTTTCATCTACAGGGAAGCGTGGCTTATCACGAACGCGCTACCTTCGCTTCGCATTCCTTCCTGTACTACTAACCCAGAAATTGAGAAAAAGTAAATAAATAAATTTTACCATGTGTATCAATTCCGTGCGTTGATCCTCGTTCTCTGTATTCTTATAGACGGCTTTGAGCAGAAGCGAATATCTAGTGAGTCTCTGCATCGGCATAACCAATATATCCATAAGTTTAAGTCGGTTGCAGTCCTTTTGCGTTTCGCACCACTATAATAACGATGGAAATATCTCTACTAGTTTCTAATATATTTTACATTTTATTGATTTTTCTACTTAATTATCTTTTTATATCTTTTATAAGAACAATAACTATTAAAAATATTAAATAATGTCTTCTTACATATTAATTTATAAAAACATTAAAGAATTGTAGCACTTTAGATATTTTTTCATTTAAAGTTATTTTAAACAAATCCGCAGAAATTGTTTATTTTTTTTGTTATTTTAGACGAGAAAATTCCTTTAAGATACCTAATTATTTTTCTAAAATAACTAACTGCATCATAGATAATTTCAAAATTAATTAACTGAGATTAATAGTGAGATCGATAGTTGACTCCGTCAAAGTAAGCCAACGGAAGCGAGCAAGAGTAACAGCATGTACATACCACCAAATATGCTGTGAAAAGCTGATTATCGTTTAACCGATCCTTGCAATACTGCTGACACTTGCTCTGCTCGGTACAGTATCTCGTGTAAGGCGCGAACGTTTGCTCGAAAGTTTCGAAACCCAGTAGAAGATGGCCGGGATCGAGCGGCTGCCCGCTCGACCGCGACGCATTCACCATCGCGAGTAGGTACTCGGTCCAAAAGTAGCGATTAGCGGCGTAGATATCAGGTATATTGCTGAAGAGTTTCAGCCTGTCGACCTCGATCAAGATATTCGAGGCTTGCAGGCTACAGAGACACGCCATGAAGAGCTACGATATCAAAAACGATGATCATCACTTTCAAGAAACATTGAAAATTCTAATCTCTTATGAGATATCTCATCCCGAGTTCTCGTTCTAATTTCAACATGTTTGATATATCAAGCAACCTTATCATCTTGACGAGATTAATCAGTTTCACGAGTCTGCTATCGCGAATTAAAACATAGGAGGTATATTATGGGAGGATATTTTACTTACATTGGTCACAACCTTTAACGTCTTAATGTAGGCTACTTCGGTTTCAGCCAGTTCCCAGAGTGCAGTTTGCTGCTGTGTGTGTTTTTCAGAAAGCATCTGTGAATTCTCGACGATGTCGCGCCAGTCTCCCTCTAAATTGTAAAGAGCTGAAAGAATATCATGATAATATCTACAATACATTGCAACAATATCTGCGACTACAGCAAATTGGGTAATTTATTAGAGATAATGGTTGCTTTCCTTTTAGAAGACGCGGTTGACACAAGTGTCATTTTATCTTTGTTATTCATTGAATGCTAAGAAAAATAAGACGACATTTGTATCGACTATGTCTTCTAAAAGGAGAGCAGCCAATATAAATAAGAATTTTTTTGAGGACCGTAAAAAAATTGAGAAAAAGGTTTCTTTAAATCACATTTTTCTGCAGAAAATTACGTACTGAACTATTTTGTTTAAGATAAGAATGCGTCGTTATCGATTTTCAATTTTCAATGCTATAGCAGCGACGTCATTAGTAATTTAAATTACAATATTATCAGGATCATTATATAATACCACTCCACAGAATTAATCTCGTCCTGATTCAGACTCAATGGCGCTTTCACACTCGCACGAGAATGTCTCTTCGAGAAATTGAATGAAAAGAGCATGACGTAAGAATAAGTAACGCGACTACTCTTCGTAGAGTAGTCGTTAAAGGGATTTTCAAACTTTGCTGATTCCGTTTGCAACAAGATGGGGCCGACGAGAGAAAAGGATTTAAATATTCTTCCACGAGATAAAGATGTTTTTTCAGAGAAGAGCGCGTGCCTTAATTTGATCCTGAATCATCGAGAATCCTCAGGATTTCAAATTTCTTATTTCAAAGGACACTCGAAAGAGAAAAAGAAAAGAGAAATTAAAGGGCAAAAATAGGAATCTCCTACCTTCTTCGTTGATCGTCACGTCGCATTGCAAATGAATGTTCGCGAGTTTCGGTACGCCGTGTTTGTTGTACTCGTCTAGCTGGGCGGTTAATGAGTCCATCTTGATACCCTTAGTGTTGGTGAAGAACCCGCTCCATCGCTGTTTACTAGCTTTGAGTCCGGCAGAACTTCGACCGGAAGAAATCGTCGTACCAGTCTCGGAGTCAACATTCGTATCCTCGGTGGAAACGCTGAAGAAACGACCGCTTCGACTCCGATAATTCTATTCAGGAATAAAAAGCTCATTTTTAATTACCTATAGGATTTAGAATCAAAAAGTCTGATGTATAGAAAAAGCAAATTAAAGAGAAAATTTATTCTTTCTTACATTTATGTTCTCATTTTGTTTATTTGATAGAGAAATAACACATCTCAAAATTAGCACTTTCTCTCTCTCAAGAAAGTATTTTTTAAATTTTGAATTGGGACATTATAAACAATTTTTTAAAGAAAATTGATATAACTAATAGGAATTTTTCTACAACTATTTTAACATTAACAACATTTCTTCAGTATATTTAACTAAACAAATATCTCTCTTTTCTATAAACAATCATTGCGAAATTGATTAGAGTAGAAATTCTCTAATCAGAGTTTGGCCGAGAAATCCGAAATTTTTCATCAAAATCATGCAAGTGAAAAAAGATATATTTTATTTCATTCTAGAGTAGCGTGAGAGAAAAAAATATGTACTATCTCGTTCTGATTAATACGATTTAATAAAAAATATCACACCAATCATAAGTTGCTATTTCATAGTCCGAGAGAATCTTTAAATCAGAGAACAATCAAGCGAATTTTTACATTACTTCTGCTTCATTACTTCTGCTTCTACTTCTTATCTCTTTAGAGATAAATTCTGAGAATTATATTGTTTTTCCAACAAAAATATGTTTTTAGAGTTGATTTCCTCTTATTATCTCAAGAATATGTTAATTTTTTGAATTGTCTTATTTTTTTTATTAAATAAGTGATTTATTATAATATACCAAATATTTTCAACATTTTTGTTAAACATTTGCGGTAAAAAGACAGCATTCTGTTCTGTCATGAAATTATCAGGACACATTATTAAGACCTTTAACGGAAACTCGCTCGCTTCGTCAAGTGATTATACCGCGGTCGTACATCAAGTTGAAGGTTTCTCAGAGCGAAGGCAACATTCTAGAAATTGCTCGTTGAGTTATCGCGCTGTGTAATCCGCTATCGAGTGTGTGATGTGTTGGACTCGCCATGAATAATGTATCGCGCCCAACACCGGGCCCGACCCGTTAAGAGAACCCTTTCCAGCATTTTATTAACGTTATCCCTTCGCCGTATACCGTCACCGCCAACGTCGCGACAAATCGTTCTCGTTACGCTTGCATGCATTACACGCGTTACGCTTGCATTACACGAGCGAATGCGAAATATTTTAACTCACGCGTTATTTCTCGTCACGACGTGCCGATCAATTTTAAACTTAGCATCTTAGTCATCAATTCTCTTTTATTCCTTGCGAGTCGTGCAAAAAGCTGCATTATTCATAGAATAATTATTCAATTTAAATCAATTCCATTATCTAGTTTAAAGATTAGACGTTTAAAGATTTCCTCTTATAACGAAGAATGGCTATAAAACAACTGGTACTTTTACATTATTTTTTTTTAAATACTAAACGAGCAATATAAACAACTTCAATTATACACAGAACGGAGTATCTAAATTGAAGTATCTAAAAATTTAGTTAGCAGGTCTGAAAATAATTTTATCGAACTATCAAAATAATTATGTAAGACATGATGAGCAATGTTGCAGACAATTTTTACATTCTGGCAATCATCTTCAGCATCTTACTATTATCTTGATAGTTTAATTAATAAGTTAAGTATCTAAAAATTTGGCTAAATACAGAAAAATAATTTTTAGATACTCCAGCAAAAAACCGGTCTTTGCATTTATTATAATAATATAAATATAAGTGCGATGTACCACTGTGAACTAACAAATTTACTGCATCGCAATAGAAGCTTCTCCACCCTGGCGTAAATGCGACACGATGTGTAAGCGTTAATGTAGCGTAATCGACGTTTCGCCTGCTCGTTTCACGTGACACGAAAATGCAGGCAGATTTCATCTCCGGAAGTACACTGTAATAATAACGATGATAACGGATCTTTATTGCAGTCTACCATGTCTTTAATGTGTACGTCGTTCGTCACACTGAAAACACAACGGCACGCGGCGATCTGTAAACCGCACCGATCAACGTCGATTACGTAACTGCGAAAAAAACTAAAAATCAAGCAATAAACGAAAATAAAATAAAATTAATGAAATGCGCAGTGTTTCAGAATTGCTCTTTTTTTCTCATTATTCTAAAATGGTATTTTGCAGAATTTAATTTAATTAAAAAGTTTAATTAAATTTGTTTTAATCTTACACACGCATACACTTCGATATTTATTTAAAATAAAATCGAAAAAATTGTGAATTAGCGAAATAGCGACGAAATTTAAATTTGATCATACACGTACTCGTCCGTGGCGGAAAACGCGCCGAGAATAGACGATCGAAGGTGTGTCGGGTCAAGTTCGCATTTATTCTACTGACGCTCGCAGCTCTGTCTTTGGTACTTTTCGAGGATTGAAATTTGTTAGCTTCATTTCTACCTGGATCGTGTCACGTTCGAACTGGCACAAACACGCGACAGATTACACACATTGCTGACCGAGCGGATTAATCCGGCTGCATCCGGTACAGATGAGGCAGCTGTGTCACGTTTGCAGTTACGCGAATCAAGCCGGAACGCTCGCGTAATTGTCACTCGGACAATTGCGGGGCGTTCGGCGAAGACAATGGTAACCGCGACGCTAGGAATCGGATGTGCACTCGGGATAGTAATGCTAGGAACAATATCGAACGAGTTGTATAGGAAATTTTAATCAAAATTATGTTGTGTAGTATTGTACATCGATCAATTAGATTTATATTGGGATCTTTCTATTTAATGCAGACCCAATCCAAGGAATTTTTGAATATCAGAACGATAATTTATGTAGTTACAAAATTTGACTGTTTATTGACTTTAAGCATCAAAATCAAGTCATTTTCATGTAATTTTGATTTTTTTATTGACTTTTATGTGTTCCTTGGGAAGTCGATACAAGCATCATTCTATGTTTTTTGCCATTCAGAGAGTAACAAAGTTAGAACGACACTTGTGTTAATTTGTGTCATTAAATAAAAAGCACCCAGAAAAACATTCAGTTGTGTGATATATCCATGTAGCATTTCTTTTAACCTTTAAGCTTAATTTACAGTGTACTCCTTGTTTACTGTTTTTTGCTTTTTATGACTTTTTACTTCTTGTCTTTTTACCTTTTATTCAGTTTCTTCGTTTTCTCTGAAATAAAAGTTGACGAACTTCATCTGAAATAAAAGTTGAACTTCGGAAGAGATACGTAAAAAGAAACGTGATTGTCGATAAAACGATCGTAAATAAATAAGATCGTGGTACAAAGCAAGAAACAGGAAATAAAGAATTGTAGATTAGGTTTTTAGGCTGTTAGGATAAGAAAGTCATACTATAGTGAAATATTATATTTTGAGACAAAAAATATATTATAATTAAGTAATAAATTATAATAAATTTTACTACAGGAAAAAATATTTTAACTCATAGTACACTCGACAATTTTTTGGACTTTTACTACACACGATGGATCGATCATGTCCCAAGTTAATTTTCATCATTTTAACAAATATACAAAAATTATTAAGTAATTTTTGCATATACTTTAACATCTTTAGAAAAGTTTATATATATATATATAATATATTATAAGATTGTGTATTAAAAACAATTATATATAGAGGAAAGCCCCCCTATTATGAGATAGCCTAATATTCCGCTAAATTAATAAACACTATCTATTGATTCCATCATGAATTTATTGTTCTTGGATTGAAAACTATTTAGTGGAAAATTCGTTATTAAATTATGCCTGTAGTCGTTGCAAAAAAAGATTTTAGAATTTGGATGTCTTTAAATTCCATTGAGATGAGCTTTTAAACCTTGTTTATTATTTAATAAGTAAATATTTGGCAATAAATTCTTCATGTGGTGATAGAGTAAGATCATACTAATAGAAAAATACATGATATGTTAAATTGCTTAATTACAGAAGTTAGATTTGAAGTTAGATCGCAAAATCGTAAGCCGCGGAAATCATATAATATAAGATACCCAGGGTATTTCTAATATGAAATAACTCATGTCATAGTGAAAATCGTTGCTAAAGTATAAATGTTATTATACAATAATCAAAAGGACAATCGAAACATCGAGTGCGATGCTTGGTTCTAACTACCTGAAGACGAGTCAGCTAAGTACAATGAATCGCATACACATTTTGTACGCGCATTGGCCGTTTATTTGTATTTTAGAAACATTAAATAAAGTTTTTTTTTAATTGCAATACTGATGTATTTTGCGTTTTATTATCGATTATTATCTCCTTGGGACATATCATATTAGAAGCAATTTTTTGATTTTGCGATTTTTTACATTTCTTTATTTTATAAAAAAAAATAAAATTTGAATTAAATTTTACATAATCTTAAAGCTTACTAAATTCCCTTCAAAATAACCTATTATTTTTTTAAATTCTGTCCATAGATTTCTAACATTTACCCAAAATGAACTCGGTATCTCAAAATAGAGGCCTTTCCTCTAAATGTTGTAACTAATTACTTTATATTCCTAGTTAAAAAAAGAAATGCGCAGGATATGAATGACTTAATCGTGTGGATACTAAGGATTAAAAATAAATCCCCTGTCTCATTGTTAAATCGAAACATAACGCGTGGATAATATAAATTAATACACTGAAAAAATGATATTGTTTCAACAGCATTATTTTAATTGAAAATAATCTTGTTGATTTATAACAACAGTATTAATGAAACAAATAAAATTTTATTAAAATAAGAACATAAGTATTTATTTCATTAACAGTGTTATTAAATTAACAAACTTATTTTCAATTAAGATAATGCCTCATGTTGATACCTCATTTTTCCAGACTGATTATATTTAAATTATAATTGATTGTGTTTTTTATTAGTTTGATTTTCGTAAAAGTTTCTGGTTCGCTAGGAAAATTCCCGCGGGAAAGTCTCGTTCACGATATCGACAGCGTTAAACCGATGATGCGCCGTCGCATCTTGCTCGGTGCGGCTTTGTTTCTGCCCGGCGAATCGTTTTACGATTTGTCTTTGTCAGCTTGGCCGTATTGTTATCGCTCTACCAGCAGGTCAAGGCTCGTAACAGGACTACAAGCATATATTGTTCACAGAGATGCTAAAATGTTCGCTTCATCTCACGAGCCTTCGAAAAAAAGCATGGTGGGGCACAAAGGTGCTCCTATTCGAATGATGATATGTCGAGGCTGATACACGTCTTTTGCGAAGCATCCGGATACGTAATACTTTCCGAGTTAATGCAAAATCGCAATGCAAATTCTTCTTTAATTTTAAAGTCCATGTCACACACTAGACATTGGAGAAACTGAGGATTAAAGATTAGAATTCAACTATATAATTAGAACACACACACACACACACACACACGCGCGCGCGCGTGTGATTAAAATTAAGTATCTGATTGGTTGAATTCTAATCTCTAAATTCTAATTTGCAATCCTCAGTCTCCATCTCTCAGTCTGCGTAGTATGACATAGACTTAAGAGGTCCTATCGCGACAAAGTTGAGTTAATTAAAGATTTATTATATTTGTGAGAGATGCGCTCTATTTAATTTAATTTTATTGTCGCAGAGTTTAGTAGAGAATTATTTGGAAGGAAGTAAACTACTTACCCCACTGGCTTTCCGTAACAGCACGTTCTGATTTCCTCTTTGGCTGGGCGTTCGAGAATTCAATCTTTCGTCTTTAACTGAAATGAGAAAGCGAGAGTTGCGGTGATTATGAATTTCTGTAGATATTTTCAATCGGACGGGCATCCTGTCAATTATTTTCTAATAATTTCAAGGAAAGCAATTTCTACCTAACAATAATTCCTATTAGTGAATCAACATCGAAAATTTAAAATACAGTAATACGCATTCTATAATTAAAAAACTTTAATTTAGCGAAAACACTCTGCAAATAGGTCGCGATATAAAATATGCAAGAGGATGCCAATCTTTTTTGTTGACGTTGCAAATGTTATTTTCACCGTGCATTGAATGAATTCGCTCTATATTTAAACGCCCGCAAGGCATATGGAACGCTGCATTGAACTGCAGCGGGGTTTGCAGATCGAACGGGTTTGTATTATCGACGCGCGTAACATTTCTGTAATGCGTGAAAAAGTCACGAGAACCATTTAAATCGTACGTGCCTGGGGCGGCCTAATTTTGCATTTTGAGAGCTCTTTCATAGCGATAGTCTGCAGCTCACGCTCGCGTTAGAACTTTGCCTTTTCTGCGCGTAAAAGGATCAAAGGATCAAACGCATTACAAAGGTCGCTGTATCAGCATTAAACTCTACCATTATCCGAAGATAAATGAATCACTTACATTTGTCCATTGAATTAAAATTTCATCATCGTCTTATAAAAATAAAAATGTAAACGACAGAGCATGTGCAATTATTTAAAAATAGACAATCTATGGAAATCATTTTTGAAGCTCATTTCTGTTTATATAAAAGTTCTAAATTTCGAGTTATTTTATCATATAGAATCATCATTTTCCCATACAATTTGCGCGTTTATTTACACACAAGTAGATTATCATAAATGAAATCATTATACGCTTAAGCTGGAAATTTAGTTACGCTGTATAGAAAGCAATTTTAGAATATAACTTCCACACACGCATTCGCAGTATACTATAGATACAGCGCTTTAATTGCGGTCTGTTACATATAACGTTCGCAATCGCCTTGTTACGGATTTAGTTTCGAATTTTAATCACCCGGAGTTGTGCATCATCGCTATATTACCTCTAGGATATATTACCTCATCATACTAACATCTGGACCCTCACGGTGACCCGTTTGTTCCGGTTGCAGTTCCTTGGACATGCGGAACTTTCTGTAATTGGTTCCGGTTTAATTTCATCGCGACGCAACAACTACTCATTCGGTCCAGAACATTGAACGAAAAAATGTGAGAAAATCGCTGTGTATTATTCTGATCTGACGTGATTCCGTCCGTTCGTACGCAGACGAAAGTTTTCCTCGTAGAGCTTTATTTCCTAACTACGGAGGGAAATAATAATCCTCATATTTCCGACTTGGGATTATCACGTCTCGATAATTCTTTCTGAAGTTAATGAATTTCTTACAGATATTTTGTTACAACAGCATTGCTACATTGTTTGTTACGATGAGTTTTCTTATAGCTCTTTTTTTGCGATATTGATTATGATTTATATCTATATAAGTATTGCATCGTGCCATTTTTGCAACTATATTTTAAACCTTATTAAAATGTTGTTCTAGTCGCTTTATATAACTTATATAATTATTTATTTATTTGATTCATATATATAATGTGTGTGTGTGTGTTTGTGTGTGTAAGATTTATAGTTCGACGATTGTATACAATTCGTATTTGAATATTTAAAATTTTATGTGTTTCGTATAATATAAAAAATATTTAAAGATCGAAAAAATTCACACATAATATATATTAAAACATACACAAACAAAATACATGATACATGCAATTATAAATAAAATTCTGTCTTGAGATCTCTGACGCAAATTATAGATTCTTTAAAACGCGAATTTTAAGATAAGCAGCATGCAAGTAGTAAAGACTACTGTCTGGCTAGTGTCAGTCATTACTACTATCATTATTATAGAGTGATCGAAGAACGTGCCTTATCTGTGTGAGATCTATAGTACTAATATTACGTCGAGAAATTGTTTTGATAATATATGATATATCTATATTTTATACATTTATATTATACATGAATTTACTCTTGAAATTTACCTTGAAATTTTTTAAACACGTTTACAGAATGATAACAATAAATAACACAGCATCGTGACTGCCGTGACAATTTTATGAAGAACAGCTGTTACATGCTGTTTCATGCGTAACTTTTCTTTCCTCCGGGGAAACATATCTCCTTTTCTCGTTCTGACTCATTAATTTTGCGCCACATGACAACGCGTGGCTTGCTTTTTCGCTCTTGAATAATATCGCATACTCTTCTCCATCGCCAATCGTCCTGGCGCATGATTACAAAAGAAACCTGGCGACTTTCAGCTACAGAGAATATTATTGGCGATCTGTCGATCGCGGGTGAGTGTATCCTGATTCCGTTCTACCCGAGCCCGACGGCGAGGAAATTGAACATTTTTCCGACACGGTCGTTGCGTACCGTCGTCGTATCGGAATTACGCTCGCTTGCATTTATATGCGTATATATTACGATCCAAAACCGATTCCTGTCGCGCGCGAATATTTAATGCAGAATATTCGTATCGAACTTGTGAGATTGCGCTGTTATTTCCGAAAGCTACGATATTCTTAAAGAAAGAAGAAAGCACCATTATATACTCGTTTCAGAAAGAAGATTGCGAACTCTTCGAACATACAGTACTTCGAAAAAAAAAAAAAAAAAAAAAAATCTTAATAATTTCATTTCCTAAAATCAATACTTATTATCGAGATTTGAATAGTTATGTTATTGAATAGCTATGTTATCTTTACAGCAATGTTCTACGTGATTTCCCTCCATTTCAATGATTTGTATATGGCAAAGGTCTACATATATCGATTAAATATAAAGCACTTGCTATAGCAAACATGACGCATTGTTTAATAAACAGAAGAGAAGTTTCCGAGATTGTTCGTCTCCATATTTGAAGTGATAATAAATGTTCCGCTACATTTCTCATAATGTTTGTTTAGAAAGTATGCTTTTAAATAGAGAAACTAATCTACGTTAATAGGTTTATACACACTATAACAAACTGCAATAAATCGTACTCCATTATTGTTTGGATCTTAATAAATTAAATTTAGATTTTCTCAATAAATCTAATAAATTAGTTTTGGAAAATATGTTTATTTTCTTGTTTTTTATTTTAATAAGTTCTATATGATCTAAAAGTTCGTAACCCTTTCTCTGAAACATTTTATGTAAGAATATGGTAGAGTCAAGGTGATACAATTTTGAATATGGTACAATTCTATACGAAAGAAATTGAATTCAATTTTCAAGGTTCAAGTTTAACAACCTTCTCATTGTAAGAAGGATACTGAAAAGTATCCCAAACAGGAAAAAGTAAACTTGGATTTCGAAAATTGGCTTCAATTCTTATTTCGTTCAAATTGTACCACGTTTGAAATTGTACTACGTTTGAAATTGAATTACACGGTGTATCTGAAATAATGCCCATGTAATGCTATTCCTAATAAAAACTGAGTCGAAAAGTCCTTTTTTTGCAATTTTCGCAATACTTTTTTTTAATCATCAAATGAGCAAAATGTCTAAAATTGTGACATACAAGACAGCTTTAAGATATCTTTAAGAGTTCTTCAAGAAACATTTTCAAGATATTTCACAACATTGAAAAATATCTTAAAATTGTCATATATAACATCGATTTTATCCGTTTATTCGGCGATCTTTTGAAATTAATATCTCGTTAACTATTGTGAAAATTGCAAAATGATAGAGGACTTTTTGACTCAGTTTTTTATTAGGAATAGCATTGTATGATTAGTTATTCAAGCTTACCTTATAATACAATAATAACAAGATAGTAATTGAAATTCTATCTGATAAGTATGTCTAGAACTTTTTATTTTTGAAATTGATTTAATTTCAACGTCAAATCATGCTTGTTGGAGATATAAACGTCGGTTGTTTTAAATTCCTAGCGCAGCATACAATCATGTAGCAAACGCGATGCTATTTCAGGAAGAGGCATTGTACACGTTATTCGTATCCATTCCATGCTGAGGCTTTTCATCGGATGCACGATCGTTCTCTCGAAATCACTCGACGGAATGTGTGACCTCTCCGCGTTGTACACGCACTCCTCTCTCAGGTTCAAATTCATCGGGGAAATCATGATGGAAACGAAATAGCGGCGTAAGTTAAGTAACTAAGAAAATTTTCCGTAAAAGCGTTGAGTTGCGTTTCTTTTATTGCTCTTCTATTCCTGTTTCACTTTTCTTGCCTTTTTTCGCCCTGAGAGAATTATGTAGACGTCGTCCGCGAACACATTTTGCTGCCCGTCTTTCTTTTCTTCATGTGAACTTCTTCTCCATGTGAAAATTCTCTTTCGCTCGAAAAATACAACGACGAAATTTATCGCCTCAATAAATTATTGCATTAAGCTGCATTGTTTGCATGCACATACAGTTGTGTTGCACTTCAAATATCCTACAGACACGGAAAAATGAGGATAGAGGCATGAAGCCAGCATGAAACGACTTTGGGCTTGCGATTTATTTATGTGTATGTTTCGAATGGATAAAAATGTGTTTACTCCCTGTGAAGTGCGGACGCATTTTCTGCTCTATCTTTTCCCTTTATATTTTCCCTTTTACGAAATAGCTGCTATTTAACATGCGATACATAAAACGATTAAAAGATAAGTTAACACTATTAGGAGGAACTAAACGTTGTTAACAAGGATGGTAATTAAAAGTTGCAATTAAAAGGAATAATTATAACAGCAAATGTATTTCGTGTAAGTTGAAAATAGTTCAACCGTCTGCAATGTTAAATTTATGTCAAATTATATTCAATTTAGGTTATTTTTAATCATTTTTTAGATAGTCATTTATATCATTAATTTAACTGAAACAATGGAGTTAATAATTTATAATAAGTTGGAGCTTTTACGTTATGGTTCAACAAGACAGAGCAAGTTAGAAGGTTTTAATTACAAATTAATAAGATTGTTGAGGAAACTGCGCTTATTAAAATGTTCATAGTTGTTAAGCAGTTATAATATCACAAAGTTTGATAAACGTCTGACAGTTTTATACCAATAAGTGAGCAATTTAATAAATCAATGATTTTTTAAAAAAGATCATGTTGAAAATAAGTCAAATTTTGGAAAAAAAAGTTAAAAAAGTCACTGACTTATTAAACTGCCCTCGTAGTTATTACGTACCGTATTTGACTAATTATGTGATAAAGGCCAAAATATTTGTTTATTACCCCTCTTTTTGTATCAAGTAGTTGTGATTTTAATTGAGTCTTATATTAATTTTATTTTAAATAATTTAAATCAAGAAAATATACAGAATTATATTTTAATCAAATTTAATTTATTATTTACTAAGTACGTTAACGTAGACGTTATTTACTTTGAAACTAATCAAAGAAATGGATTAATTTACATTTTGACATACATAGAAATTAAAAATAAATGCTATTTTTAACTTAAAAGATTTGGATTAATTGGATCATTGCTCCTTTGATATCTAACAGTGTGAAGTGCAATTTTCGATCAGATGTGCAATTAAGAATTTATTTGGAATTATTAGAATTATCTGTACAAAATTAAATTGTGGAAGTATGCAATTTTTATTAGAGAAAAAGTACAAGACACTCCTTTAAAGTACTTAAGAAAATACATGCACAGAAAGAAAAGAATTTTATCAGTCTGCTTCATTTGCCAAGCTTTCATTATCCTTCTGACCAGACTGCAAAGAAGGTGAATTTAATTATTCGTCCGTTCTTCATTATCTATTAACGATTCCTCGAAACCCTTGCCTGTCGTCACCGAATATCTTCGTTGCCTCAAGTCGCCGGAAGACAATTAAATTAATCAGGGGAAACAAGGGAATGGTTTGTGCATGATCTGTCATGATTCAACAAAGGCGTTGAATTATTTCACGCGTCGATTAACTTTGCGCCTAAGCCGATTAACTTTGCGCCTAATTAAGTAAATCTAACTATGCAATAATAAGTATTATATATTTGTCAATATCTTAAAAGTGTATAAGGAAATTTACAGAGTTTTAACTTGTCACAGAGAATATCTTAAGAAGCATCGAAAATTCCTCTAAAAAGAAAATTCTAAAAAGAATTATAAGTTAAATAAAAATACAATGAAAAGAAATTTAATGAAATTCAAAAGAAAACTAAGTACTTTCTTAAAATATCATCGGCGAAAAACGTCTTCAAGAAAGTTAATTCTAGAATCCGTTTTGTGATATAAATATCACAAACTCCATTTTATGACATGGACATCGATAATTTACGACAGCTGCCTATTCTCTCGAAAATCCAGACTTTCTTCGACGCGTATGATCCATTCGCGATTTATGTCACTCAACTTCGTCCGGACTGTGTCTATGTGGTTGTAGATTAATCAAACCTCGGGAATTCGCGGGTAAAAAATAATTGATTGTGCTAAATTTTCTTTAGCCACAAATGAGCCGGAGCGTTCCAATGCACTATTAATAATTAATTAATTATCGTAGTCGAAACCAAGCATTGAGTGGTGCGTTCAAAGGAACGTGTGAAAATTAATGTCAAACAGTCTGGACGATAATTACTGTTCGTCAAGTACTATGACATACAAGAATTAATTTCTGACCATTTTTTTTATCGCAAAATTCGATCGCGATCAAGTTATTATTTTAAAAAACTCGTATATATATATATATATATAGCATATAGTATGATCGCTGTGAAGGTTTATAGGAAAAGACATTTTACTTTTTTACTTTTTTTAAATGTTTATATATTGTTGGAAATTTTTACTAAAGTATCTAAAAATTTAATTAATTTATAAATTTGAAAATAAATTGATTGACAATTTTGTTTTGATCAAAATAATTATATTAGGACGCTTAAAACTTTTTGCAGCATTGTCATCAATGCTTAAGCATTCTATCATTTTAATGTAATTATTTTGATAATTCAATAAAATTATTTTCAAATTTAATTAAATTTTTCGATGCTGTAATTATAAAACTGTTCTTTCATGTATTACATTATTTTACATTAATGTAAAATAAGTAAGAGTGCAAATTTCAATATTTATTATTGAAGGTCTAATCAGATGGAATAAAATATGACAGCAAGGAAGCAAAAATAGAGGAATCAATCTAACGCGTATACATCGTCTGATATAATTAAATCCTCGGACAGAATTTACTTAAATCTGAATGTGAAATAATTAGAGTCCAACCGAAATTTTTGCTGAAACTAAACCGAAACACTCGTCTACATGTAAATTTTAACCGAAATCGAAACCAAAATTAAAAAATAATAATCCTATAAAGGCCATATGTATAGACATGCCCATATACTTTTTCTTTATAAATATCATAATTTATTAAAATAATAATTAAATTTTGGCCGAAATTTTGATTGTGTTTGACCAATTTTGGTCAAAGAATATAAGTATTTATTCTTTATAAATATCATAATTTAATTATTGAAACAATAATTACACATATTAAAATTAATATTTATCAAAAAGAGTTATATGATTTCAGTCGAAAATGACACGTAATGAGCGTTCGTTTTCAGTTTTTTCTATAAAAGTTTCGGTCGGATTTTAGAAAAAAATGCAATCTCACCGATTACTCGTACATGTTTTCCACCGAGAGTGGAAGCGTCCGTTGTCAGCAGAGATAACGGCGTCGAGGAACTGTCCAGGCCTTCGACGCGCGATAAACCGAC